CATTACTGATACATGGTAGCACCAAAAGAAAGCTGGGAAGTTTGTACGCATTCAGGTCTGACAGCTTTGCACTGCCATTTATTGACAACTCAGTAGGTGCTCAAGGAACTCAAATTTCACCAGATTTCGCCCCACTGTCAACCCAATCATCACCGAAACACTTGAGGATGGTGGAATGCAAGGGGCAATGCCTCTACCGAAGATTCTTGAATTGAAACTCACACCCACAACGAAAGCGAGGAGGGAGAAGAAGACGGGCACTAGGAAGCCAAAGCAAAGAACAAATTAGGATCAGCAGGCTTTGGGTGTTATCAGGCAAGCTGTACTTGACTGATGTCTATGTCTTCTGCTGACAGGTAATTGGTGAAGGAGTCTCCATGCTTCATACTGGCTGTGTCATTGAATGTGATCAATGAAACATCCCCATGTTGCTGGACATCTGCGAAACCAACCTCCAAGTCTCAGTTTCCTTGTTGGATGCTTCCTCACCAACTTTTACTAGATCAACTACCTCTGGTATGTGGGGGGCAACCAGTGCCATAAAAATGTCATGATTCTAATTCAACGATTCCGCAGGTGTGTGAACAGGACCCTTGCATCTCAGTTGAATATGCTTGGATAAACCAACCCTCCAACAACCCGCTTTGCCAACTCAGCACACTCAAGCAGGTCACATTTGACCTTCCCTTCAAGGAATGGCTGATCATCACACCAGGTCATGCGAAATTGCTGCAGGGCATCATGAGTGATGTTGGGCAGGCAACGGCCGAGGACGGCCATCAGTGGGAAAGACTGATGGAAGGGGAGAAGGAGGTGGACATAGCCAGGCAGCAATCTCTCATTTCCTTGGCAAAGCCTGTAAGCATGATACTCCTGGTTAATAACCAACTTACAAAAATTACCCATCTAATGATGGCTTTCATTTTCAATTTTTCAGTTAGTGGTACAACTCTTTGGAAAGAGACGAATCAAAGTAAAAGTTGCATTGTGAAAGTGAAAGTTGCATTCTGAAAGTGAAAGCTGTCCATAAAAGTTGAAATAGTTGTCCCACTCAAAGTAAAGTTACCCAAAGTTCCCACATCTGGAGTGAAAGTTGTCAAAGTACAATTGGACATTTTGCTGATGCTGTAGTTTCCTGATAGCTCTTCAACATCTTAGAATACCTACACATACCTACAAAGATTGCTGCTACCTACAGAGACCTACAGAGGCTATGCTGCCTCCATAGAACTGCATGATCTATGGAAATTTACCAGTTTCCTGATGTATTTCGCTACCCCTTTCCAGAAATCCGAAGTCCAATGGGGATCCCTGTCACAGATGATACTTTCTGGAAGCCCGAAGCAGCACACTACTTTTCTTACAAAAAGAGTGCCAAAGTCTTCAGTGTTCAAACCTGTCGTAGTGGGTGTGAATGTGCCATGCTTAGTGAGTCTGTTGACAGTGACGTGTATTGGGTTGAATCCTTCTGACCAGGGCAAGTTTATGATGAAATCCATCGTGATTGATTGGTAAGGACAGCTAGGTATGGGGTTTGGGATGAGATATCCATATCTGTTGAAGTTGGAGGGCTTGATTTTCTGGCAAACATCACAGGTCTGTATGAATTTCATAAGGTTGGCTTTCATTCTTTTCCAATAAAACTTGCTGCTTAGTTTCTGCCATAGTTTCTCTAAACCCTGGTGCACCCCATCATAGGCTTGCTCATGGGCCTCCTCCATTATCAATCTTCTCCAGTTGAGCAGAACACAAAGCCTTGGTTGATAATCTGCATCCCTGAAGAATAGCAAGCCGTTTTCGTCTGTGAAAAAGTGATGCCCAGGGATCCAGGTTTCCACACTGGACTTAGGGTCATCCCACAATTTAAATAGGTGAGGATCCTCACTGTAACCTTTAATCCATTCTTGCATTACCCCTTCTTCAAGGTGGACTAAAACATTAGGCAGAGGATTCATCACGCCCTAATATTGAGCTCTTTACTCTCCCCCACCTATTCCTACCGGACTCCTACTGGATTCCTGGAATCCTACTGGACTGGACTAGGACTGGGACAAATTTCATGCTGGCTGATCACCATACAAATTTTGTATGCTAGTCCTAGTGGAGTCCTAGTAAACTCCTACTGGAATGATCCCAAATCACCAGGAATTGTGGAATTCTGCTGGATTTTTAAGGAATGAGTCCAGTAGGAGTCACTAGTGGCTACCACTATTTATGATTAATCTATGACAACTGTCCAAGAGCCATTGTGTATAATGCCACAGGTTTTATGAAAGGCATCTCATTAGGATTGCCCATCTATTTCATTCAATTTGTCACTGGAATCTTTCATAAGTTATAGGCAAGGATAATGAGATATCATGGGGATATTTCATTAGGCTCTTTGGCCCTTTCATTATCATTTCTGAGACTTTTCATTAGGATATTTCATTAGGCTCCTGCGCTTTTTCATTACCATTTCATAGAATTTTTATTAGGATATTTCATTAGGCTCCTGCGCTTTTTCATTACCATTTCAAAGGAATTTTCATTAGGATATTTCATTAGGCTCCTGCGCTTTTTCATTACCATTTCTTAGAATTCTCATTAGGATATTTCATTAGGCTCCTGCGCTTTTTCATTATCATTTCTTAGAATTTTCATTAGGATATTTCATTAGGCTCCTGCGCTTTTTCATTACGATTTTTTATATTTCTCATTAGGATATTTCATTAGGCTCCTTGGCACTTTCAATAGATTTTCTTGGAATTTTCGTTGGGATATTTCATTCAGCTCCTTGACCCTTTCATTACCATTTCATTAAATTTTCATTAGAATGCTTCTTGGCGCTTTCATTAGGATATTTCATTACACTCTTTGACCATTTCATTAGATTTTTCATTGGGAGATTTCATTGGGGCATCTGGCCCTTTCATTACCATTTCTTTTAGGATATTTCATTGAGCACCTTGACGATTTCATCACTTCTCATTAGGCTCCCTGGCACTTTCATTACTATTTCTTAGATTTTTCATTAGGATATTTCATTAGGCCCTTTGGCACTTTCATTACCAAAAACTATATAATAATGATGATATGTATCACATGGGTTGTTGGGAGGGAGGTCACATGACCAATTACCAAAAATAGTCAAAAAGCGAAAGTTGTACCCCTGCACTGTAGCTTCCCGAATCTGGTTGAATTATGTTCTGAAGTGCTCCTGTTGTGGAGATATGAGGTAAAGGAATTCCAAAAGTGTCGTGTTTTTTTTGGTTTTTTTTGCATTTTTCTTCGTGAAAACAAAACCAAATAACATGATTCCAACACATTTAGAAAGCTAGATGAAAGGGCAACAAATATCATATCATGGGAAAATTGACCAAAAAAGGAAGGTGCATTCCCTCAAAGAGCAATCATCACTGACAGACTACAAGAGTCAGATATAGACTACCAAGTTTACTCATAGACTACAAAAAAGTTGGACATAGGCTACAAAGTTTACTGATAGACTACAAAAGACTACAAAAGTCAGACTTAGACTACAAAAGCTTGGACTTAGACTACAAAATTAGGGTTACATTAAAAGGTTTTGTAGTGTCCGCTTTTTCATTAGAAAAGTTTATAGTGTCCGCTTTTTTAGACTACAAAAGTTTGTAGTGTGTGCCTTTTCATTAGAAAAGTTTGTAGTGTCCGCTTTTCAGACTACAAAAGTTTGTAGTGTCTGCTTTTTGAGGCTACAAAAGTTTGTAGTTGACATATAGTTTATAGTGTCCTTGACTCTGTATAGGTTATGGGGATGAGGTTAAAGGATTGACATGATTTTACATATTGCCATTGCTGCAGCATTTACTTTTGACATCATGTACAAATTGTCTTTCACATCAAGAAAGGCCATTCTATGCCTTCATATTGATAGCTATTGTCCTATCTCAAATCATGGTTCTAGGTCCATGTGGATATGGTTTGAAGGATTAAATTGCTTTACATATTACTACTGCCAAATGATTAGTTTTTGACATCATACCCAAGTTGCCTTTCACATTAGGACAGGCTATTCTCTGATTTCACATTGATAGTTGCTGGTCTGTCTGCTTTCACATTGATAGCTACTTGCCTGTCCCAAACCTAGTCAACTGTGATATCAGCTCTTTCAGGGCAATAGGATGAGCTGATTGGTCCCTGGAAGTATCCTTAAGTCAGGTCATGATGTAAGTTAACAATGTATTGAGACAGAACAGTAGATATTACTATGAATGGCTTTTTCTGGCTTGAAAGCCAACTTGCGCATGATGTGAAAAGCTGATGATGTGGCAATAGCAATCAATATGTAAAGTCATGTGAATCCTTTAGCCAGTTCCCCATAAACCTACAAGTATGGTTTGAGATAGGACAGTAGCTATCAATATGAAGGCATAGAATGGCCTTTCTTGATGTGAAAGACAATTTGTACATGATGTCAAAAGTAAATGCTGCAGCAATGGCAATATGTAAAATCATGTCAATCCTTTAACCTCATCCCCATAACCTATACAGAGTCAAGGACACTATAAACTATATGTCAACTACAAACTTTTGTAGCCTCAAAAAGCAGACACTACAAACTTTTGTAGTCTGAAAAGCGGACACTACAAACTTTTCTAATGAAAAGGCACACACTACAAACTTTTGTAGTCTGAAAAAGCGGACACTACAAAACCTTTTAATGTAACCCTAATTTTGTAGTCTAAGTCCAAGCTTTTGTAGTCTAAGTCTGACTTTTGTAGTCTTTTGTAGTCTATCAGTAAACTTTGTAGCCTATGTCCAACTTTTTTGTAGTCTATGAGTAAACTTGGTAGTCTATATCTGACTCTTGTAGTCTGTCAGTGATGATTGCTCTTTGAGGGAATGCACCTTCCTTTTTTGGTCAATTTTCCCATGATATGATATTTGTTGCCCTTTCATCTAGCTTTCTAAATGTGTTGGAATCATGTTATTTGGTTTTGTTTTCACGAAGAAAAATGCAAAAAAAACCAAAAAAAACACGACACTTTTGGAATTCCTTTACCTCATATCTCCACAACAGGAGCACTTCAGAACATAATTCAACCAGATTCGGGAAGCTACAGTGCAGGGGTACAACTTTCGCTTTTTGACTATTTTTGGTAATTGGTCATGTGACCTCCCTCCCAACAACCCATGTGATACATATCATCATTATTATATAGTTTTTGGTAATGAAAGTGCCAAAGGGCCTAATGAAATATCCTAATGAAAAATCTAAGAAATAGTAATGAAAGTGCCAGGGAGCCTAATGAGAAGTGATGAAATCGTCAAGGTGCTCAATGAAATATCCTAAAAGAAATGGTAATGAAAGGGCCAGATGCCCCAATGAAATCTCCCAATGAAAAATCTAATGAAATGGTCAAAGAGTGTAATGAAATATCCTAATGAAAGCCTAAGAAGCATCCTAATGAAAATTCTATGAAATGGTAATGAAAAAGCGCAGGAGCCTAATGAAATATCCTAATGAAAATTCTAAGAAATGATAATGAAAAAGCGTAGGAGCCTAATGAAATATCCTAATGAGAATTCTAAGAAATGGTAATGAAAAAGCGAAGGAGCCTAATGAAATATCCTAATGAAAATTCTAAGAAATGATAATGAAAAAGCGCAGGAGCCTAATGAAATATCCTAATGAGAATTCTCAGAAATGATAATGAAAAAGCGCAGGAGCCTAATGAAATATCCTAATGAAAATTCTAAGAAATGATAATGAAAAAGCGCAGGAGCCTAATGAAATATCCTAATAAAAATTCTATGAAATGGTAATGAAAAAGCGAAGGAGCCTAATGAAGTATCCTAATGAAAATTCTATGAAATGGTAATGAAAAAGCGCAGGAGCCTAATGAAATATCCTAATAAAAATTCTAAGAAATGATAATGAAAAAGCGTAGGAGCCTAATGAAATATCCTAATGAGAATTCTAAGAAATGGTAATGAAAAAGCGAAGGAGCCTAATGAAATATCCTAATGAAAATTCTAAGAAATGATAA